GCCTTGGATCCGCTGGAGCACGCGTGGATGCTGTGCGCTTCGGACGGACGCTGGGAAAGCCTGGAGAGTTTGCTGAGCTGCGAGCCAGCGCTGTTGGCCAAGCGCGACTTCATCACGGGCTTCACGTGCCTGCACTGGGCGGCCAAGCTGGGCCACCCCGAGCTGCTGGCCAGGCTGGTTAACTTCGCCCACCGGCAGCGCCTGCCCCACAACATTAACGCGCGCGCGAGCGGCGGCTACACGGCGCTGCACCTGGCCGCCATGCACGGCCACTTGGAGGTGGTGAAGCTGCTCGTGGGCGCCTACGACGCCGATGTCGATATTCGGGATTACAGCGGCCGCAAGGCCTCGCACTACCTGAGCCGGGGCACCGCCGAAGAGGTCCGGAGCCTTGTGGGGGCTCTGCAAGACGAGGTCGACAGCGGGGCGCCTAATGGCAGCAGCCGCTGGAGACTTTCCAAAGTGCTCCCCTCGAACCTCATTACTTACAAGCTTTCTCACCATCACCACGGGGATGAAAGGGAGTCCGGAGACGGGTCGGCAGCGCCCAACAAGAGCAAAGAACTGAGTAGGAAAACCTCGGGCAGTGGTAGGATAAAACCCCGCCTCAACAAAATCCGGTTCCATACCCAAATCATCCACACCACCCCTTCTTTCAGGGGGGATGCAGAAGAAGAAGAAGCAGAAGAAGAAGAAAGGTCCCTGAAAGCCTCCTTCAAACTCAGACCTAAGTCCAATATATTTGGTTAAAAGAACAAATGTGTCCTTTATTCTGATGGGGACATTTTAAGATAATCCCTGAAGGCAATGCCTTTAGTTGCTAAACAGGGTTAAATAGAATAAATATTTTGGTTAGGAACTTTTTAGGTTAGATATTTTTTAGGGCTACGTATTCAGTGGTTAATGGAACCAAACCTTAAAACTTTTTGTTTTTAAAAATACACATTTTCAGACTTGTTTTTTTTAAAAAACATTGATCAAGTTTTATATTGGTTACATAGTAAGAGCTGCTGTTTCTCCAGTGTGACCAAATATCCATTAAGACACTACATATATGTCTGGGTTCTGTCAGATTAAACTTGCATATAGTAGAGGCTTACATGGTGGAATGCTACTCCATATACTAAAATTCATTGCACACAGAAAGCTATCATGGGGACAAGATAAGGCTTTAAATTTTCTTCATGATCTTTATTTTTATGTGCGTGGAAGTATTTTACATACTTACTTTTTAAAAGGCCAAATGAAGCATTTCATTGATAATGTTTTCTTATCTACACAGTTGCAGAGGAAAAGAAATTTAGGATTTACAGTGGATGAACAGGCAGGTGTGAGTAAGTCTGGCTGGAAATGTTCCATTTCAAAGGTTACCCCTAGTCAGGCTCCAGTTGAACAGGGTGATTAAAATTGCTTAAGGAGTATGTATGCAGGAAGAAATGGGAGGGGGGACAGTTAACCATTCTTTCCAAGTATTCTCTGTTACCTTTCATGCACATTAGCATGACAAGGCAACCTGTGCTGCCTTGCCTTTTTTGCCCTAAAAGACGTGTGTTAAGACATATATATTGGGAAATTTATATAAAATGTTATATGACAACTGCAGTATGGGCTGTATTAGTTATCCAGAATCTGTAAACTCAGTGGGAATTGTGCCATTGACTTTAGAAGAATACTCATTGCACCTAATTTGTAAGGCTGTACTTTTCTAATGGTAATTTTGAGCTCTGATCTTTGACTATGTTTTATTTGCTGAGTGCAATGCCTTTGGGAATGGGGATACTAATAGTAGATAAAGTTAACTTGGTTTTGTTGTGAGACAAGGCTTTGATCAACAGGTTTGTTCTACAGCTGAACGCTACTGAATTTGAAAACATAATTTAAATGAAACATTCCTCGTGAATGGTTACAATAGAGCAATGGTAATGACCATGTAGCACAACTTTCTTTTTATGTGGTAGTTTTGTGAACAATATTAGTCATTTGGATAAGCTGTCTTGAATATTAGTCCTAGTGTTTAGCCATTAATTTCTTCAATATGGAATAGGAATCATTTTCAGTTATGAGAAAAAACTTAAAACCATAAGTAGATCTCTTAGCATTCTGGAACACTTGCTGATTCAGAGATCAGGAGACAATGGAAGACTGTCTAGTGTACTGAAATACCAATGAATACAGTGTCTAGCTTATAAATATGTACATAAATATTGTTATAGATAAAATACAGCAGTTCCACAAGAATCCATATTCATATCACTGAATATGAAATGATATAAACTATGGGTTTATGCATATTCAGTCTGATATATAAGATACAGAAATGAAAAAGCACATGATTCATTTGCTGATGCATGTTACAGAATGTTAGAGAATCTTTCATTACTTATATTTTGCTTATCAATTCTTTTTTTAAAAGAATAGTGAACCTGTGATTTTTAAAAAGCACACAATTCTTTATAGTGTGAAAATTAAACACTTTATTTTTTACTTTAAGAAATAGCAACAGTGTCTGGAAAGTTAGTAATATTTTTAAAAATATTTGTTCCAAATTTAGTGATTTTTATGAAATGTTATGAAAAGTGTTAGCACTTTTTCTTCAAAGAATATCTGGGCTGGTCCTCAGATGCTGCTTATGTGACTATTAACAATCCAATGCTGCCAAATAAATGCAAAACTAACTAAAGCATGTTTCCCAATTAGTTTTCAAATATTTTGGAAATGATCATTTTATACTGATTTAAAGGCAGGTTGCAGTTCTAAAACAGTGGAACCTGTTTTTTGAAAGATATTACAATAAATAATACCATAATTACCATAAATTGCAAAATAGTATTAAAGAGAACAGCTGTATAGCTGTCCCTTCTCTTATCACAACTATCTTTTTTGATGCTAACCGTCTTCTAATGATTATCAATTGGTTATGTAACTCTAATTGTTTTGATATTTTTTTGCAGGCTACCTATACCCAACCAATGCATAGAGTATAATTTTTAGATGGAAGATGGAAAACTTTGTAGTGTTATCTTTTTTTTTTAATACTCTATCAGAAACATGACAGTAGGAGTTTGACAAAAGTTCTAATGATATCCTTATTCAGATATATAATAGGGTCTAAAAACTTTGCTGAAAAAAAGCTAAACTGTAAAGAACTGCTTACTGTACAAACTATTACACTACTTTGGTACTTTTTTATGTACACAAGTAAAACACATGCAAACATGTTTTCAGTTTTAATTTATAAGCTATAATTACATGTGCCTTTGTTGACCATTGCAAACTACAAAGAAAGGAGTTTATTGAGCATTCCTCTTCTCATTTCAATAGGTTGAAGGCCATTGGTGTCTTTCTGTCAACATACAACTTGTAGCAAAATAAATATTCCGAAGTGTCATTCTGTACTACAGCACTAGAGGTTTTATAATTTTAGTAAAGATTATATAAGGGTTGAAAATTCTGCAGTGCAGAATAGTGTCTGAAGTACAATATCTTTACAAATTTCAGTAAAATAACCTGAAATAAGTTCAACATTATTGTGTAAGATCTCAAAGACAAAGATAATCCATCCCATCCTTTTTAAAATGTTTGCTCTGTAACATATTTAAATTGTTCTCTATTGTATTTATAGCTGACATGAGGTTGTATTTTTGTAGGTGTTGTGTATTTAAATGTTGATCTGAAAGTTAGGTCTAAAACATTGCATATGCCATTAGTTTCTATCTGATAATCACAGAGAAATATTTTGAATGTATTCTTCAAACAAAGCTTGTTATCACTGCAGCAATTTCAATTATTTTAGGCACTAGCTTCGGCGTCTGTCACAAACTAGTAATAGGAGTACAAGAATTTGCAAATGTTACATGACATTGGAGCACAATGTAAAATTCTGAAAGCTTACAGGAGTAATACTTTGATTCTAAATACTAAAAAATATTTAGTGTCCTGTGTACAGGTTGCTTTTTCACAACTACAGGTAGATGTACATGATAAACTAAGGTCTGCAGTTTGTAGAAGTACATGAAAAATCAATTTTGATAATGCAAAAGTCAGGTTGACTTAATATGTAAATTGCATAACACGGAGGAACAGTAGCAGTTTTTTGCTCAAACCACAGTTCATGTTTACCAAGCACAAACATGTAGTCTACTTCCCAATAGTATAAATGTTTTATTTCAATCTTTGTGACTTAACTGGCACACCAACTTCAACATAAAAATTAGAGTTATGTGGAATAAAACTGGATATCTTGAGCTGTTTCTTTCTAAGGAGGTACAAAATTAAGCTCTGTCCCACATCCACTAGCTGTTGAGGTTAGTTGAATTTATTTTTAGAAAGCATACATGAGAATAGGTTGCAATTTTTGCTACCTTATCCCTGAATAGAATAGAGCTTTCCAAGACTGTCTTGGTAAAAATTGATTATAATATGTGTCTGAATGAATGGTTGAGTGAAGAATTACTGTAAACCTAACTCTTAATTAAATTGTCGTTCTTTTCATTTTGGAATTATACTTGTAATCTTTTAATATTGGCCTTGCTGAACTGGAAGTCTTCAGTGGAAGTCCCACATTTCTTGCTTTACATCACTTGCTTTACAGATGTGAAATTACTGTGCTTGTGTCATAATAATCATAATAATCAAATTTATCTGTCCAGGAAAAAACATAACTGTCATACCAACTGAAGTTGATATTAGCATACTTTTCTGTGGAGGCTACCTAGATCTTGATGGATGGTACTGGGTCTAGAAACAATCTTTGTGGAGGTATGGAATATGATTCATCCAAAACGTATATTATTTTAACATTCTAAAATCAAAAGGGATTGTTATTGTACTACGTTGGAAGATTTGATTTAAAATTGTTCAAGTGTAAAACTTCGCAAATTACCGTAATTATTTGGTTGTCATAATTGTATTGAATATCCAGGAATAATCACGTTAATACATACATTATAAAAATAACAACACCTGATATTTTATCAGTCTCTTAAGAGAAATTTTCTCTAAACCAAAAACGAGGAAAGTTCCAAAGGTGCTTAGAAATTACTTCTTATAAATTCCATACATTTCTTAAACTGACATTTGTTGAGATTTGCTGCCAGTTCTTTAAGAAAATATTTCAGGTAAAACTAATTTCTTCCTTTGTTCATGAAGAGCTGGTACATATCAAGCAGTAAAGAATGAGCTGCCAGTCAGATCATAGGTTTACACATAACACTAAGCTAAACTCTGTGATTTGATTTATGGGTTAGCATATGTGAATGGAACCAATTGTTTATGCAGTAAACCATGATTAAATGTGACAGAAAATCATTGGTTCAATGTGACCTCTTTCCTTAATGAGGTGACCTTACACAAAGTTCACTTTCTTAATATTTGCTATTTGTCTATAGCACCCAAATACTAATTTTACTGGATTGTTTCAAAACAAAACACATGGAGCAGTTTGAAAACTTAAAACTATGTTACAAAATACTTTCTGTACACATCCTGATATCTTGGTTTAACAATCCATTTTGTTGTAGTAACAGCACCTTTGATTTGCTAAGAATAATACTACACACTTGTCAATAAAAATTGAAAAACTTAAACTGAGTTACTCTAGGAAACTCTTACTTCATCGAAATATACGCAAAGTAACACCCAGCTTGCTATCCCGTGTGCAAATTTGTAAATTTAATCCTGAAATGTTCCCACCCCAAACCAGATAAGAATGCCAGCAGGACATCAGTCATGATGGTTCTTGCTTTTACGTGTCAGAACTGCTCATTTCTTACAACATGGCTTTTATATTAAATCAATTATGTTTAATTCATTCAATTATCCATGAATCTCTGCTACATCCAGTTTCCAACCTCATATTCTTTGAGTTACAAAAGCTTTGGAATGCAAACCAATTATCCTCTTTTTCTGCCAGGGCATCCAGAATTGTTTCAACTCAGCTCCAAAGCAGACTCAGGTTTAATTCAGTCTCTCCAAAACTGATTCTCATTATCCTGTCCTGTAACATTAGTTTTGCTTTAGTCAAACCTGTCTTTAAAAATAAACTGATGAAATCAACTTTCTCCTCCTGGCCTAAGTGATAAAAGAATGATAAAAGTTGATGTTTTCTATTTTTTACCAGTCTAGGAGGGATAAAGAAGCAGGGGAATCCTCCAGTTGGGATCTGGGGTAAATGTCTGGACAAAACATCAGGCCATCACTGGGGCCAAAGTGGAGGAAGGGGCTGAAATCTGGAAAAGGATTTCGTAAGATAGCTTAGTTTGCAGCTGGGATACACACAGGAGACAAGCAGCTTAAGGCTGCATGGTGGAAAACCCTTTTGTATAAGGTAACAAATTTTAAGGTTTTTTGTTATGGCAATTAACCCGTAAATTACTTGCTGGAACCATGTTTGAATATAATCTGTTTCTGGAAGTGTTAGAACTCAAAGGAACCTAAGTGGGTCAAAATTATTTTGAATTTATAACTAAAAAACGAGGTCCACACTAGGTACTGATATGTGGTCAATTAGAAAGTGTTTTTATATTCTTACCTTGAAATTAGTAATTATAACAGGCACTGTTTCTCTTCCCTTTTTTCTCTAAATCTGGCAACTTTGTACAATGGTCCATTATTTCAATCAACCCCAGAGCTTTCTGAATGCACTTCTGACGTTTTGATATTTCTGTTTTATACTCCTTATTTCTCAAGCCCTATTCTCCAAAACCTGTCTGTATTCTGTTATGACTATTAAGCTTAATATCCAAGTCTTATCTGATGATCCTGGATAATTTTTGTCCAGTTCCCAACCCCCCTTTTTTATTGGAGGTGGTCAGGCTGCAACTTCAAGAGAGCCCTGGAAGAAATTATCTGGAAGCACTAAAGTCAGAATTCAGGTCTGGGTACGGTACCAAGACAGTATTGATCACACTTTTAGACAACCTCTGGAGGGCTACGGATGGTGATGGTGCATCTATCCTGGCCCTCCTTGATTTCTCTGTGGCTTTTAATACCATCAATCATGCATAACTGTTTAATATGTGCAAAATTTGCACATACAAGTGCAGTTATAATACTGATGTGAAGTGTTATCCAATATAGCACTTCAAACGTCTGATGAAATTAGTGTAGTCATTTAAAGTGCAAATTCACAGTTGAGTTCACAGATGACCAGAGTGTGGTACATAGTTCAATTTTCCCCAGTGTTTTTATCCCAGGCCCTAATCACAGCTTCTGCTAATACCCCCTGCATTTCTCTGCCATAATATTCTATAGAGTACATAATACATTTGTTTAGAGGAAGTCAGGGGAGTAGTCCCTTGAAGACAGTTTAAAAAAAAGATACGTATATTTAGATTAACCATGACTGCTGTCAAATGCCAATGTTTTTGTGGATCTTAAAGCTAAATTATTATAATTACATTACAATTGGGTGGTAAACTGTTAATTATATATCAAAAATATGTTATTGTATTGGAAGTGTCTGAAAGTAGGTGAAAAGTACTGGAAATCAAAGCATTTTCAGAAATTAGCTTGTCCTAGAACATAGCTAGTAATAAACCGATCAAGTAAGTTATCCTACTACTTTTCTGTAACTTGTATATAAGAAATTACTTTAAACTATACAGTCAAAGAATACATGACTCTGTGAGGAACACACATGGCCTTAAATTCCAACAGATGGTAATTAAGGCATTTACCACAATTACATCACAGAAAGAATACTACTGCTTAGAAGTGTCTTTGCAGTTTCATTGATTGATTGCAATGCCAGGACTGTAGCTGGCTTTGTACTGATAGGACAGAGCAAAGGACACGTATCAGTTATTTCTCAGCTAGAATTTGTCCTTCAAAATTCTTTGCCCTTCACACCTTTGACAGTCTCAACAAAATGCATGCATCTCCTGTAGTAGAGATTATGTTTACACATATCCTGATTACTGGTAATTGTAGTCCATCTCAATATTGCAGACAATATTGGAGAAGGCTGGTATAAAAATTTAACATTGAGTGCCTGCAATCATTCCCAGACATTAAGGACAATTGCTTGGTGAAGTATGGGAGTAAGATCTATTTGTTAGTTAGTTATGTATTTATCTATCTGTTAGCATCTCCTCCAGGAGCTCAAGGTGATAAATGTAGCTCTCCCTTCTCTCTCTTTTTTTTTTTATGGTACAAGATGAAACATTGCCCAGACTCTTCTTATAATGCATGCCTGAGGGATTGATTAGGGTGAGGTTCTCAGATACTTTGAGATATTTATATAAATGTTTCCTAGGTGACTCACAGGTTAGGCAAATGGGTGCATAAATCCACCACACATACACTTTTATACGTAAATGATTCAGTATGTGTACCTGCAATTAAAACCTGTCCTTGTTTTACCCCAAAGAATGACAGTAAATGCTTAGTTATACATCAACTTTAAGAAATGGGGAGTGTAACACAAGGACTATTTGGAAATCAAATTCAATCTTTTAACAAGAGCCGCACTTAAAATTTTATCCTATTTTAGGAGCACGATACAATAAGATTTGATTAAATGGGAAAAATAAGCTTTGTTATCCATGACTACTATGTCTGTTCAGCTCAAACTGTTGTTGCATGTGCACGTGCATCAATACCAAGTGGAATCCCAAAATATGATTTCCAGCATGGAGAAAGCCCTTTTGGAAAGGTCAGTAACCTATCGTTCAGAATCATCAGTCTAAAAACCATCCAAAGTTTTCTAACATCCTCCAACAGCTTCTAAATTAGATGAGAAAGTCTGATTGCCACTTAATGATGACCGTTGACTGTTGTATTGATCATAGGAAGGACTTACTATAGGCTCTGTAAACAATAAAAGCAAGAGAACTTTAAAAACCATTCTTATCTATCTTCAGGGAAGTATGAATATGCCTGCGGTCTGTACAAAGAAAACATTTTGATGGTAACTGGCATAGAAGGGAGTGGAATGTGTTTTGATGAAGCTTTATCAGAGAACAAGGAACTGAAGATCTCAATACTGATCCTTTAGCAAGCATGCCCTTTTATTCTACATTTTAATGTATTTAGAGGTATATTCTTTCTTCACTGTAAAACCATTAAGATGTCTCACCCTCCACGTTTTTAAAACAATGTGCAAAAAATGTGTAGGATAATCCAATTTAGGGAGCTGTCTACCAAATTTGGTTAGATTTACCAGAGCTAAGCTGCAAAATTTCAGATAAATGCTAGGTGACAGCATATACTCAGTATATTCTGTATCTCTCTACTGGCATCTAGTGGTCTCCAAGAGTTTTGCAATGAAGATCTAGTAGCCATAAAAAAAAGGAATAATTCAGTTTCAGGAGAAACAAGGCACAAAGGTTTATAGTCTTTATGGGATTATATTGAACAACACAAAAAGTAAGGAGGATTAATTCAACTGATTCCATTTGCATCAGTTCTACTTTTCCCTCTGTTCCATTTCCCATTCTGTTTTGGACATCCTTTCCCCAACAAGCATATTTTCCAGGGCACAGATTTCTCACTGAAGATGAAAAGGGCAGCTGAGATCCCAAAGTTACCCCACTCTACTCATGGGCTCTTCCTATGTTTTATCTAAAAAGCTAGATTACCATCAGCTTCACTCAGGTGTGAGAAATCTGTCTCTGCCATATTCATATCAAGTTTGGCTCTACAGTGGTGCTTAAAAGTTTGTGAACCCTTTTGAATTTTCAGTATTTTTGCATAAATATGACCTAAAATGTAATCTATTCTCCACATAAGTCCTAAAACTATCTAAGAGAACCCAATTAAATGACTCAAAAACATTATACTTGTTAATTCATTTATTGAGGAAAATGATCCAAAGCTACACATTTATCTTTCACTGACACAAACTCATACAAACTAGTAGTCGTTAGCTGTTGGTTTGATAGGTAGAGCCGGAACTGGTTTTTGAGTGTCCTGTTTTGTTTTAAATATTTCCAGTCCCAAGAAAACTGACAGGTACGTAGTACTAAATGTTCTTTCTAGAAGAGAGAAAGGATTTGTAACCTTGCTAGCATCTAGGGCTGCTTGGCAAGCAAAAGTAGGCTCCGGTCCTTCGTTTTAGAAGTTAGGGAATCACTTAGGGTATACTTCTGAATAACTTTGATAGATTTTAATGCTATTGATACTGAATGCCTGGGTTTTATTGCTTTTAAGGGTTAGCTGGCTTGTAATTTGGTATGCTTTGTCTTTGCAGCCTGCTGGATAATTTTCTGAAGAAGAGCAGTATATAAATTAAATGAATCATAACAATATCATCATCATCATCATCTCCTATTCAGGAAAAATCTGTTTATATTAAGCCAGAAGTAACTCATTTGTGAGCCCCAAAGGCAAATGCAGCCCATCAGCTATGTATGATGACCCACCATAATCTAATAAGCCTCTTACCTAGCTTGGCTGGCAGTGCAAATATGCAGCTAGTAAGCATTGGTGAGTCACACTTGCATCAAGACTGATGGGTCTCGTGTTGCCCGGATCAAGATTTAATTTGCAGTGTCCTTTGATACAGCAAGGAAAGGCTGGGCAGGTGAGAGGACATCTTCACCAAAGCCAATAAAGACTGGAACACCAAATTATGGTGTTAATGATTGCTGTTTTCTTTCATCTTGTTCTTTCAAGATACAAGCAATTAATGAAGTTAATTGGGCATCTTGGGCTTAATACATTTATTTCAATCCTGCTTCCTCTGGTGATGTCACCACTTCTCCTGCAGTTCTTGGAGGATGAAAAAATACAAAAAAGAAAAGTACACCCTCTGTTCCCCAAAAGGTTGCTGGCCTTTGCCTTAGGGTTTCATGATAAGCTGAAACTAAAGATAACCTTTCTCAGACTAAAGATAACTGATCTAAGGAGACAGCCTAGATTATAAATTAGCGTTTGAAATGCATTCCTGAAGCTCAGACACCTCTAAAGGGAATCAGGTGGTCAGGCAGCATTGGGAAGATAGGCCTAAGACTCAAAAATGTATGAAGTGTTTGGGCCTGCTGCCGTTTAAGGGGCAGAAAGTGCTCCTTTCTAATAT